ACAAAACAGATGAACACAGAGGAAAAAAGGGGAAAAAAGAAAAAATAGAGAAGGAGGCAAACCATAAAATAGGGTGCCTGAGTGGCTTAGTGGGTTAAAGCCTCTGCCTTCAGCTCAGTTCATGATCCCCGGGTCCTGAGATCGAGCTCCACGTCGGGCTCTCTGCTTAGCAGGGAGCCTGCTTCCCCCTCTCTCTGTGCCTGCCTCTCTGCCTACTTGTGATCTCTGTCTGTCAAATAAATAAATAAATAATCTTAAAAAAAAAAAAAAAAGACTCCTAACTACAGAGAACAAACTGAGGGTTGTGGGCAGGGAGGAGCATGAGAAGATGGGATAACTGGATGAAGGGCATTTAGGAAGGTACAGGATGTGATGAGCACTGGATATTATATGTAAATAATGAATCATTAAATTCTACCCCTGAAACTAATAATACATACTATGTGTTAACTAACTTGAATTTAAATAAAACCTAAAAAAAAACAAACCAAAATCCTTTCAAATATGCATTATAAATTTTAAAATATAAAAAATATAATTAATATACATGTAATTTTATATCATACTAGATACTTTAATCTCTCTTTGATGAATAAGAAGTGTCCTAGATCTAATGGAACACCAATGAGTTATAAATTATTCAGTAATTAATAAATTCTCTTTAATGTGGAATATGTAGTTTGTTATACTTTTAAAAATTAAAAGATACTACATAATCATTTAATATGCAACCAATATTACTCATACAAAAGAAAATAATCAAATAATAATGCTAATGACATTAATGTATATGTCAAATCATTCTCCTGAGTGAAAATATTTTTACACAGACAAAAATAGCATTCTAGAGCTAGCTGGGATGTTCTATAGACAGGAAAAAACTCCTAGGGCCCTATATCCTAGCACCCTATCCCAAGAACTAAAAGAAAAAATAGACAAGGTCTCTCAAAAGTCCAGTGTTTTGGATACTGCTCTAAAAATTTGATTATAATGCTCAGTTTGCAGCTAAAAGAGGTATCCTTTTATAAGATAATGAACAGCAAAAGAAAGATGTGCTTCTCGAAACACTGTAACACCCAAACTGTTCAAGATTAGTCAAATTTCTTTCCAAAAATGGAGACTTTTAATGGGAGGCAGGTATGAAAATCAAGTAATTTTGGAACATAACGCATTCCTCTGGTAAGCTAGGGAGTAATAGGCAATGTGCCATATCATGTGGCACAAAAAGGCTGAGACCTGTAGGATCACAGAGTTTGGGGAAAGAAAAAAAAAAGGCAGGAGGGAGCAGAGGTGGACAGTCAAAAAATGATATAAATATTTTGGCTATCCCTCCTTTCAAATATTAGAAAAGTAGCAAAAACAGAGTTCCCTCTACTCCTCCAATTTGCTCACAGAATGAACAGGCATTATGATACTGATAACAAACAAGGACAAGTCACATACTATTAAGCCTGTAAGTATTTTATGGCCAGCTTACATTGATCTTATTTAGCAAGAACAGACAATAGGAACAGAGTAAATGTGTCTCAAGCTTAAAGAAATTGTAGGCTATTTCTTAGAATCTGAGACAAAGCTAAAACTAAACTTCTTAAGACATTAACTAAAAAAATATGTTATCTGTGTAAGGCAAAAACTGACATACCCAACTGTGTCTAGCCAGTTCTCTGAAGCAAAAGCAAACGTGAGGCTTTAGAAGATAATTACTGTAAAATCTCAAAATCCTAAGGCAGCAATGCCCTTGCCTTCATACATAAAAGAGGACATATTATGTAGCCCTGATGAATCATTATCAAAATCAATTTTGATGATGCAATTATCTTTTACTAAATGTTGTTTCCATAATCCTTGAGAAATTCTCGGTTTTCATGATGAATCTTATCACAATTGAATAAGAAAGAATGTAATTATCTATAATGTCCTTTTAACAACAGGACTGACAGACTTATAGAAAAAAAGCTACAACTTCTCCAAGACTGATTATAAAGATTGGGGAATAAACATGTGCTACCAGAAATAAGACAGCAGCATGTAGGTCATATGTAATTACTATTAGAATGAAGAGGAAAGTCTTGAAGGAAAATTTTAGTCAAGAAGTACAAATGCTAGAGTGCACCAAACAGCCTCAGTAGCACTGAATTTAACATTTATTAAATAAATTTTAATGAAAAATTCCAGCTGATGACACAGGACAGAATAAACTTCTTTCCATTTACCTAAATTTGAGCTGCATAAAGGTAACTTTCCTCCAAATAACTAGTTATGTACCTCTGGATGTAGTATTTAAGATTGTGGTCCCACATTTGCAAAATAATACTGCTTTATGTAAATACAAAAAAGGCAGAGCTGTGGATGGTTCCTGTACATTTATTCTGGTACATCTCAGTAATACTAATGAAGTTGATCCTTTCCTCAACAGGAAAGTGCTATTTGTCTGACTCTCCTACAGCATGTTGAAGGATGAGTGCTATCAATAGAAATAAAAAGTGTAACTAAAGTTATGTAATAGATAATTTTAAAACTTTACCATCTTGCTGGCAGTAAAGACATGTGACTTAGAGTTTCAATGAATATGTTGTGGTAAAATTGATGGCATTCATTTTAATTCAGTATCTCAGAAAAAATAGAGAAACATATTATCATTGTAATAACAGATGGTTCATTATTACTCATGAATTTTTTTATTAAGGGACTGGATCCAACTAAACGTATCTGATAGAGACATAAAATACATATGAATATATAATAAAAATAATAGTTCCCCAAGGCTTTCATTATATACACATGATTTAATAACATTGTCAGAAGAAAACATGATTATGCTCTCCAGTAATAACTTAAAATTAATATTGAGTCATCAGTATTTTAAAAACAACTATCATTTTAGTCTATACTATTATTTGTTATTCTTGAATACATTTGTTGATTAATTAAATAAAAACTTTCAGTGACAAGAATTAGCGATGTAACAAGTTCAAAAAGTTTTTAAGTTCTATCTTTTACCAAGTCAGATGGACATAACTGGCAGTACATGTAGCTTCTTCATAAATTCATCAGGCCAATTAGAGCTGCCAGATAACACTCACAACCAGAAGAGGATCACAGTGATCACACCTTTATAGCAAATTTACAGACTATTAAGATTCAGGGGACAATAAACCTGATGACGCAAACAAACCACCAAAATGAACATATGCAAGTAAATGTTGAAAAGTATGATAGCTTGGAGAATACAGACTGTGGAGATAAAGGAAAGTCAAATGAAAATATCTGAGAAATAAACACTTAAACAGTAACTTCTCTGCTTCAACCTTACTGTTTAACATTCCCTTTCTGCTAAAACAGAAATCACCAGAGTTTTCAATAACACATCCCTCTGACGCCTTCAGACTTAGTTGCCACCTATTTCAAATTTCTCTGGATTTCATAGTCTTCAGTCACTTTCACGGAGTAAGTCTTTCCATTGTGCATTAACAAAATCCTCTGACTACATGAAAATATGATGTTTCCCTCATCTCCCACTAAAGAGCACACTTCGAGTTCACTCCACAATAATAAAATTTACATATATATAATTTAATAAAATATTTTTTAAAATATAAACTCAATGTGAACATCTTTGTGTTTCTAGGAAGAACCACGGCACCTGGCATGCAGTAGATGAAGACAGTATTTCATCAACAACACCACTGTGCATTTTTAATATCTCTAAAATATGGCTACATCTTAAAATTAACAGTGAAGCATAACTTAATTGGGAGAGCTTTTCTTGATACATACATAATGGTGCCTTTTACAAATGCTGTTTCAGGTTAGACTAAATAGATCAGTAACTGTTAAATTCAGTTGAACTGAATTAAACCAAGGTAAAGCTATATGGTGTCTTTACTAAATTAACCCTCAGAAAACTGAAATTCATGTTTTCTTATTCTTTTCTATGTCAGTCTCTTTAAAATCAGACTGTTTAAACTGTTTTAAAAACTGTTTAAAAAGTAAATAAATAAATAAAGCTTGTATTTTATAGAATTAGTAGGTTATACCTTAATTATCTTTAAAAACAACCTAAGTACTATGCCTTTTGACTGAGGTGTTGAATTTTTTTACATTTGAAGTCATTACTGGTAGGAAAGGACTTAACTACTGCCATTGTGCTGTTTTGTCTTTTAGCACTTTTGCCCTCTGTATTTCATTGATTTTTTTTTTTTTTTAATGTAGCAACATACTCATTTCCTTTTGTGTATTTTCTGTAAGTATTTTCTTTCTGGTTACCATGGAGTTCACATAAAACATCTTAAAGTTATAACAACCTATTTTAAGCTAATAAATATTATATATAAAAACTATACTTCTACTCCTCCTCACATATACTTTGTTATTAATGTTATAATTGGTATCTTTTTATATCATGTATTCATTAACATGTTCACAGGTACTTATTTTTTATACTTTGGTCTTTTTTAAGTTCTATACCAGAATTAAAAGTGATTTATATACCACCATTATAGTACTAAAATACTTTATATTTAGCCTATGTCATACTTTTATATGCTGTCATGTTGCAGTTTAGCATCGTTTTCTTAATTTAGTCTTTGGAATCTAAAGACCATACTTACTTTATAAGTGAAAATGGCCAAAAATGTCCTTATGAATTGTTTGGCAATTATAAGTCAGACCTGAGGGGTGCCTGGGTGGTTCAGTCACTTACATGGCTAACGCTGGATTTCGGCTCAGGTCATGATTCCAGGGTGCTGGGACAGTGCCCTGTGTTGGACTCTATGCTCAACGGGGAGTCTGCTTGAGGATTCCCTTCTCTCCCTCTCCAACCCCTGCCCCCACTCACATGCAACCATGTGTGTGCATATGCTTTCTCTCAAATAAATATGTAAAAAATTAAATAAATGAGAATTGAGCTTCTAAGACTTAACAGTATTGAAGGAGCTATGTTTCTGAAACCAATAAAGCAGCTCCAGCCCATTAAAATCTTTACCAATTTTAATACCTACCAGTTCCTTTGCTTAGATATGGAGGTTTAAAGAACTTCACAACACCATAGACATTGACAATTGTACCACCCTTAAGTTGATTCAGGGGTGTATATATATAATGTGTTGCTGGAACCTAAGAAAGCGAAGACAGTGAATATATCAACACTAAGTATTTACATTTTAGAATAATTTTATAATTAAATTTTTAAAATAACAACCAATCTAATTGCATTTTTTTCCTTTTAAGTGTCTAAAAATAGGATATAGCCTGAAAAAAAAGGAAATAGACAGCTTATAAAGGTTACTGTACAAACCAACCAGTTTTTCTTAGAAAGAATTTTGATTATAAATTATGTAATTTGTATATAATTCTAAGAAATGCAATTTAAGAACTTTTGGTTCTGGATTTTAACTTTGAGTAATATCACTTCAAAACTTGTGGTATATATTTCTTTTTTCCCCCCTATATTATTATAAAGATTTTACTACAGGTTTTGATTGTAAATGGTATAAATACATTAAAAATGGGAAAAACAGAAAAGAAAAATTATCTGAAATAATTGTACACAGGTTTGGAAAGAAAGGGGAAAGTGATTTACAAGGCCATGTCTGCATATTAGTCAAACAATCACATCTGGCCCCATCACCTATCCATCCCACCAAAAACCAGAAATAAGGTTACTACCTACTGCACTATAAGTTAAAACTTTAAAATTTAAATCAAAATGAGTTAATTGTTTTTTTCAAGGAAGCTGATCCTTTCGTTCAAGTATAAGAAAGGTAATGCTTAGAAATCTCATCAAACTTTGATATAAAAAATGTTGTAGCTCATAAATGATGGAAGAAAAATAATGGACAGCATATGGGACAGAAAGGAAAGATATGTACCTAGCTGACAAATAACTAGATCGAAGATATTAAAGTTATCTCCCTAATGTATAGATGAATGGGACAGGCCAGCATATAGCTCAATGATACTAACCATTATGGTGATCCATGCAATGTACTTGTTAATTCATGAACAACAAACAACTTCTTGATTATAATTTGACTCTCCATGTAAATAACCTAGTATATACGTGCAGAGCATCTAAGTTATAGTCTAATAGATCAGAATATCTGGGATCACTGAAAAAACATTTTTACCAATTTCATAAGTTCTTTCCTTTACTTCTTCCTTATATACAGGTTTGTGGATGTATCAAATATTTGAAGCTGAGCAATCTAAAATAATTTTGAGAAAAACTAATACCTGCAGCTAATTCATGCTTTTAAAAAAGTATATCAACCCTTTTATTGGTTACAGTTTATTTAAATAACAAATATGAATTATATTTCCATATAGCATTATTCAGAATTTAAAAGTTGTACCCCATAGTCACTGTTAACTAAAACAGTTTCTGGACTCTGTCGATTAGAAACAAAAGGTTTAAGAACACAGGCAAAAGGTAAACTTTATATTGAACTTCATCATATATATTACCCTTTTTCCAGTTTTACTCAGCTACATGTAGCTCACCTAAAAATGGGAACCTTCCTATTGCTTTAACAAAATTTTATAAAATATTAAAAAAAGATAAAGAAATGAAAAATGTATCACAAGTATAATAAACTTCTTAAAATTAAATAATTTGTAAATCACAATTTGGCACATGATATTGTTTATAAATACAACTGATAAAGAAACAAAAGTATCTGCCTGAGGTTTAAAAGTACTAATCCTAGTATCTTCACAAAATAAAATGTTTTTCCCTTTTAATTTTTTTTATGTGTAGCTTATAGAAAATACCAACAGATATTTCAAATAAAGGAACAACCAGTTATTAATTACTAGGTAAACATATAACTCAAATTTAACATTATTAGATATCAAAAAGGTAGATATTTTATTTTCCCATTATATTACTATTTTAAAAATTAGACTATAAGTGGATATCATATATATATGAAATACATACATGTGTGTTATCTTTATGTGTGTGTGTGGATGTGCATATTTTAAATTAAACTGAGTATTATCTTACCAAAGACATTGATTCTGAAGAAAAATCTCTGACAGATTTAACATAAACCTGAAAACAAAAAAAGAGGATTTACTTGTATACAACCATCCTCCAATATGATTACAGACCTTTAACTGCACCAAAACTATACACTTAACTGTGTAATATTCAAATTCACTAGAATGGCACAAAACTATGCCTTACAAATTAAGACTGACATGTGCAAAACTGTCTAAGGTTCAGTCTTATCCATTAATTTCAATATCAGAGGATCAGCCCTAGCCCATCCATATTTTGTATACTACAGAAAATCAGGCAGATGGTGGCCTGCAAGCACAGGACTTGGCCCAGCTCTACTTCTCTGACAGCCTTGACCAAACTGATGGTCTCCATGTGTGCACATGCACACATGCACGCACACACAGGGCTGTGGGAGGAGGGGTGGAGTGGGAAGCAGAGAATCAGCATCTCTGTAAAGAATAAAATAGAAGGAAATCAGTTTTACCTAAAAAAGGGCATTTGATCAATTTAAAGTGAAATCAAGTAGACCATCAAAAAAGGCTGATGATGTAAGAGTAAAGAATGAGATCTAGAGTACCTACAAAGTTTTAAAAATTCCATTAGTAAATAATTATTTTTAAGGGATCTTTCTTTTCTACCTGGAATCATTCTAAACATAAAGCTGAGAAGAGAATTTTTGCTTTAAACTTAAAATATTTAATTAAAATAATTCAGTCAGGCTAAATAGTTTATCTGCAGATTTACAGAAATACTGCTCCTATTCCATCCCCTTAGCTCATTAAAACCACAAAATAACTGGACTAAAAGTTATACACTTACATAAACAGTTGATCTGAAGTCTTCAAATGCTTTCAAAAATAAGCGATGTTTACCATCTCTGCTTGTAGATGAAGATGCCGACAACACAGTAAATCCAGCTACAGCAATGGTGTCCTACAGAGGAAAAAATGGTTTTAAATCATCAATATCTGTAATTCTGAATGTCACATAAATGCTTATTTTTATTATTATTTAAAAACAGGAGTAATTTCTACAACATGGAAAATAGGTTAGCTACATGTGTTTAATGATTCCTGAATATAAGACCGAGACTACGACTTCCTCTAAAAGGGCTTCAACATAGTCCTAGACAAGCATAATGTCTCACTTCACAGACCAGGAAAACACTAACTAAATCACCCAAAAATTTTTATTTATTTAGTGGGACTTCAAAAATCAATGTTTATCTCAATTTATATGAATAGGTTTGCAGAAATAATGAAGAGATAACAGATGATCCAAAAGTATTAAGAATGAAATTTAAATGAAACTAAATGTCAGAGTTGAGAGACGACATTGAGAAAGACATGCCATTAGTATTAAAAACTCCATACTGTCACAAAGCTAATACATGTGCATATAAATCCAGGGTATGAGACATAAATAAGAAATTTCTATTTACCTACTAATAAGAAAATAGTATTTTCCTTCTTCTAAAGTAAGAAGCCAGTCCCCATTTATTCTTGCCTCTCTCATTCATTAGTTAAATCTCCTTTTCTTAATTTCTAAATATTGGAACATACACATTCAGCAAATTTTGTCTTGCTGCCCTATACATATGTAATATATAATATGCAATAATATATGCTACACACACACATATATATATATATATATATAATTATTATCCTACTCTTCTAATTTTAGCACCAAAACCTTAAGATACATAAAAATTCCTGGGTTTTAGGCAGCTTCCTTCAATAATCTTAATTTCTACCAAATGGAAGTATCCTGCATTACAGACTTGCTTTGCACATTTGAGGAAGGGTCTGGTGTCAAGTCCCAGGATTCTCTATTTAGATCCATTAAACAAGGTTGTGAACACCCTGAAAGGCAGGGGTCATGTCTTTTTTTTTTTTTTTTTTAAAGATTTTATTTATTTATTTGAGAGAGAGGGAGAGAGAGAACGCACTAGAGCAGAAGTGGGAGGGAGAGGAAGAAGGAGAAGCTGGCTCCCAGCTGAGCAGGGAGCCCAACACAGGGCTCGATCCCAAGACCTTGAGATCATGACACAAGCGGAACACAAGACACAGACACCAACATAGCCACCCAGGTTCCCCATGCAGGGTCATGTCCTATTCTGCTCTATATTTATAAGGCTTGGCACAAAGTAGGCCTGCGATTAACAAACCGTGACTCAAAATATGGATCTTATATGGCCTTCCTAAAATCTCGAGCCCTGTTCAGAACTTCTGGCTCTGCAACTTTCTACATTTTTTTCTTCACATGAGACTATGAACATAACTGTGTTTGTGCTGATAATGCTAAATAACCACAACTCTTCACAGATAAATGGGAGAAAATATTCCTTTTCACTGAATATTCTGTTTTGACCATGTTTTTAGGCAGTATGCATGTATGTATGTATGTATTTATCAGAGAGAGGGAGAGTGCATGCACACAAGCTAGGGGAAGAACAGGCGAAGGGAGAAGCAGGCTCCCCACTGAGCAAAGAGTCCAATATGGGACTCAATCCCAGGACCTTGAGATCATGACCTGAGCTGAAAGCAGACGACCCTTAACCAACTGGGCCACCCAGGTAACCCCAGGCAGTTTTAAAGGGGAATAAAATAAAAAGTGAGACTGCTTCTGGAATATATTACTCTTAAAACTGAAAAATAAGCAATGGTTTCAACTGCCTAAAACTTCTGATTTAAACGAAAACTTGAGATTTTAGTCAAAGATTTAAAGTTGTTTAATCAAACTCACAGGGAAAGATAATCAGAAGTAGGGAAGTTTTTCAGTTCTAAATTCTCTTAAAAGCACACACAAAAAATAACCTATCTCATATTATTTTCTATTTTACTGAAAAATGTCTTAAATATTATATGAAAAGAAATACATAAAATGCAAACGTTATTGTGCAGATGAATATTTTTCTATTTTTCCATATAATCTAAACTTAAAGAATGTTTATTTTATGATGGAGAAAACATTTTAAATAGAAAAAAATCACTAAGAGCAGGACATCAGCATTCATAAGAAAATTTTCTTCAGAAGTCTAATTCTATTTCAATATTAGCAATATAATTCAGTAGAAGGCTGTAGTATAACTTTTCCTCTAGCACAAATTTTACAACATAGAAATAACCACTGAAAATATTTAAGAAAACTAATGTGTTTATTATACTTCTAAACATGAACTTATATTTGAATATATCTATATAAATTATATGGAAGGCCCTCAATGATCCTATCCCAATCTACCTGGCCTATTTTATTTCTATGTATGTCTATTTAATACTATAAAAATCAGGTTCTCTTACATTCATAGTGCTTTTCCATGTATATTCTCTGCTTATTCTGAGCCCCCACTAATAACAGCATTTTTCTCTTTTGCATATTATCTGATCCTATCTATCTTTTAAAACCCAGATTGTAAAAACTTTTCTTATGAGGTCTTAGATTGTTTCTGAGAAAAATAATTCTTCCTTTCTCTGAACTCTCCTATGCAGTATTTTAATATATTTTGCCTGTGTATTATTTACAAATGATTCTTCATGTTTTTAATGCTTTTAAGTCTATAAGCTCCCTGGGACTAAGAATGTCTTATCTACCTTTATATACCGTAAAAGTGGCTGGAAGGAGCTTCTGCTCATAGTACAAGTATATGTTGAATAAATTAATACTGGTAAAATTAAAGTACAAACCTAAACAGAAGAGAGAAAAAAATAAGTGACGCTTAGAATCTAGTTTCCATGAATTTACAAATTGTAATAGCTTTAAATTAATTCAAATGCACAGAGGATAAGAAAGATAAACATATAATAGGCAGTATTAGTTTGTATAAACACTCATTAGACTGAGTTGAAAATGAGATTTAATATGCATTGTTCTAAGTTCTAAGCTTCTGAAAAGAGCATACTGAAGCCATTCAAACAAGAATAGGAATCACACAGTTCAGTGCTAAGAATGCATTCTGATATACAGAGTAGGTATTTTATCTCAATCTGCTGAAGTTATTAGGAAATCAGCCTGAGAAGAATACCATATTACTAAAAATGATAAGGCTTTATCAATATCTGTGTATCAATGTTCTAAAAATAAAAACACATTGGTAGACCTGAAATCTTTGAACTAACTCAGGATACTCAGATATCAGCAAGTGTGTCATTTTCTTTTTGTCTAACCTACCCTGTCAGTGTCTTAAAAGGAGTGAGACTTGGTCATTAAACAACTTCCTTTTTGGGTTAGCCAACAGGAATATTCTACTGCAAACCAGTTTCAGAGAAAAAAAAAAATCAATGAAAACAGCATAGATCTTTTTAACATAAAGAAGTGTTCTTAAAAATCAACAATAAAAAAAAAGAGCAGACAACTTATTTGCATATTAACATGTCATTTTTACATGCTAATATCTTATAGAACATAATCAATGGTGGAACAAGAAACAAATCAGTCTGTGACTAAAAAAAAATGTAAACTGCAAGACTAGTATATCAACTTGTTAATTTTTAATTGATAGTGTATCCAAAATTCCCACTTTATTATACTTTCAGCAAGCAGGAAAAAGACACAGGAAATATGAAACAACTGATAATCCAAAAAGAAAAACACCTATCTGACTTTAACAGGCATTAAGTGATTTTTACTATGCCGCCCTTGCAAATCCTGTTATTATATTTTAAAACACCAATTAAGAGTGAAAGAGTGAAGGGAGAAGCCAGGAATCTGATGCCACTGATAACGCAGTGACTGACAGAAAATGTTTCTCTAATATAAAAAATGTATTTTATGAACATTAACATATTTGGTTATATAATGCTAAGAACTTAATTGGAAGTACTATAGGCAATATTAGCATAAAATCCAAAATCTGTAAATGGTTTACAAATCCCTGTGTGATCTGATGCCCACCACCTCACCAGCTACCTACTATGCAACATACCCCAGAATAGTTCCTTTTTGTAATTTTTAGCATTCCAGGCTCCTCAGTTAGGGGCTCTGTACATGTTGTTCTCTTTTACTAACCCACTCTCCCAGAACCCATCTTCATTCTTTCTGCTACTTTTCTAATTCTACTACTCAATCTCAGTCATATTATATCTGGATAAAATAATCAATTATATAATAACTGTTTAATTTCCTCTGCTCCACTGAGCATTGTCCCATGATGGCAAGGTCCATTACCCTCTTATTCAGGACATCCAGCACAGAAGACCAAAAACAATCAACAAGTATTTGGACAATTAAATGAATAACCAACTATGTAACTACATATTACTTATATATATGATACCTTCATTAAATCTTAAATAAACTGTATGAGTACTACGAAACTTAATTCAAAAAATCTCAGCACGTCAGAACTGAAAACAGGACTTTAGAGATCATATAATCAAACACTTTCATTTTTCAGGTAAGAAAATAAGGGCGAGAGAGAATAAATGAACAGTCTAAGGTAACATTCAGCTAAGTAGTTATAGATCAAGACAAGAATCAAGATCTCCTAATTTCCAAGACAGGCACTACTCTACAACATCCTTCAGAACTAAATCTCAAATGGAGGGAAAACAATGTATTGACAAACGTCTGTAATTCTGATGGTTTTGTGATAAAATATTTCTTTAAACTTTCAAAATACTTTAAAAAAGTCCTTCCCCATATTTTATGTCCATTTATTAAATGTTAAATCTTACTTTTAAAGGAAAGCTAAAACTCATACAAAAAAAGGTTCAATTACAGGGTGTATATTCCTGCAAAATGTATCATTAGTCTCACAGAGCAAGGATCGAAATTTTGTTAAAATTCATTTTAATGTTTACAAATTTTTTTTTTTTTTGTAATCAAATGTGGAGCTAACCTTAAGGGAATAAGCCAATGACAAATAACAAAGGTTTAAGAACTGAATGAAGAGTGTTTGCTTCAGCAGCACATACACTAAAACTGGAACA